TGGGAGGTGAGTGGAAGGTGAGAGGAGGAGGAGGACAGCAATGGGAGGTGGGGGGCTCCTAGGAGGAGGACAGCAATGGGAGGTGAGTGGGGGGGGGGGGGGTGAGGGGGGCTCCTAGGAGGAGGACAGCAATGGGATAGTGGGGGTGGTGGGGACTGACAGCAATGGGAGGTGAGTGAGGTGAGGGGGCTCCTAGGAGGAGGACAGCAGTTGGAAGTGAGTGGAAGGTGAGGGGGGCTTCTAGAGGAGGACAGCACTGGGAGGTGAGGGGGGCTCCTAGGAGGAGGACAGCACTGGGAGGTGAGGGGGGGGGCCTGCTCCTAGGAGGAGGACAGCACTGGGAGGTGAGGGGGGCTCCTAGGAGGAGGACAGCAATGGGAGGTGAGGGGGGCTCCTAGGAGGAGGAAAGCAATGGGAGGTGAGTGGGGGGTGCGGGGGGCTTCTAGGAGGACAGCAGTGGCAGGTGAGTGGGGGGGCTCCTAGGGGGGAGGACAGTAATAGGAGGTGAGTGGGGGGGGGGCTCCTAGGAGGAGGACAGCAATGGCAGGTGAGTGGGGGGCTCCTAGGAGGAGGACAGTAATGGGTGGAGGGTGAGGGGGCTCCCAGGAGGAGGACAGCAATGGGAGGTGAGCAGAGGGTGAGGGGGGCTCCTAGGAGGAGGACAGCAATGGGAGGTGAGCAGAGGGTGAGGGTGGGGGCTCCTAGGAGGAGGACAGCAATGGGAGGTGAGCAGCAGGGGGGGGGGGGGCTCCTAGGAGGAGGACAGCAATGGGAGGTGAATGAAGGCTGCAGGGGGTCAGGAGTGCGTACTGTACACAGTGCAGGGGTTAGGAGTGGTTTTTTGTATAATGTGCTGGGGTCAGGAGTGCATGCATGTATGCAGTGAGTGTAGTTGTTAGAACTCACAGGCTAGTGTACACAGTACAACCAAAAATTACCCCCACCTCCCACTACATATCCTCTCCCTAAGCCCATATCTGCCACACTACAGATATCTCCCAGCAGCCATAATTCCCCAACCAGTGCAGACCCCCCCCTTCCCCCCCTCCTCTCAGCCCACCTGCTCAGTACAGACCCCACCAGTACAGACCCTTCCAGCCCCTTATTAGTACAGACCCCGAGTGTAGGCCAACTCTCGATACAGACCCCTAGCCCAGCCTACCCCACAGTACAGACCCCTACACCCCCCCCCCCCTTAAAGTCACTCAGCAGATGCTGGCGCTCACATGCGAGGCAGAAGGAAGTTCTCCCATCAGTTGTGAATGTGGCTGGTGCTGAGAAGGTGCCTCCCTCATCTTTGCATATGACTGAGCTAGTGGTGGGATTTGCATATGAATAAGTAGTAGTGGTAGTAGCAAATTAATATGCAAATCACATTATGCATTATGCATATGCAAAACCAAGTGCTTATTTGCATATGAATACGCTGTAGGCACAATGTACAGGGGTAGAGCCTTTTTTGGCCAAAGCCCCTGTACATGGGACTAAACTGAGATTATGGGATGATCTTGGATTGTTGGGAGGTATACTTCATAGCCCATGATGGAGTGGTAGTGTAACAATATTCTGAGCAACTATAAAGGCATCAAGTGGACCTGTCCGTATTTTTACATATTTTATGAATACATTCCTGATGTTTCCATTCTTTTTAACTTCTTCCCCTATAGACAAAACAGGAACACTTTATTATTATAGCCACAGGTGCCCCCCATTGAAAGATTTTCCATGTCCTCCTGTTGCAGTCACATCTGTACAGATTTGTATTTTCCCTCTTCTTCAGTCTTGGTGATAGAAGTGGTAGCCTGCACGGAAAGTGATGGGAAATCTCTCCAGTGAAAAAGGCAGCCAGCATTAGAATACTGACAGTGGTTCTAACCCTCCCACTATATCCAAAAATAAAAAGAATTTTAGCTGGAGTTCCAGTTTAGGGCTACTGTCACACTGCGTTTTTACCTTGCTTTTGCTGCGCTTTCTGCACATTTTTTAAAGGACATGTGACTTAAAAATTGCACCAAAAACGCTTTTCAGAGGCATTTTCCCTTGATTTCAATGGGAAGAGGCATTTTTGGGGCCCTTTTTTTTTTTTTTAACTCCCCAAACATGCTGCAAACATGCAGCAAGCAGGAGTTTTTTACACTGCACCGCAAGCAAGCGCAACGCCTCAGTGTGAAAACATACATAGATCTACATACATAGGGAAGAGTTTTTCAGGCACTTTTTTATTGCAAAAATGCTTCAAATACTCCTCCGTGTGAAAGTAGCCTAACAGTTCTGATTGGGTGGCTTCTTTAGTTTTCTCTCTCTCCTGCTATTATACTGGAACAGTAGACTTTTTATGGAAATATTGACCAACAATTCATAGCCAGATATACTGATAATTACTGTAATAGATGAAAACTATGATGAAGAATAGCTGGTCACTATTCATGGAACTTTTCTATTGGAACTGCTTTGGGGGGGGGATTTACTAAAAACTGGTGCACACACAGAATCTGGTGTGGCTGTGCATGGTAACCAATCAGCTTTCAGGTTTTATTGTCAAAGCTTAATTGAACAAGCTGCAGTTAGAAGCGGATTGGTTACCATGCACAGCTGCAACAGATCCTGAATGCACCTGTTTTAGTAAATATCCCCGTATGTATGATAAAGAAAAGTTACCTGCACTTTTAAATAAAATGTGTCTCGATTGTTACGCTTGGTACAAGCAATAAATTGTCATTCATTTATAATACATTTTTGTACATTCGTATTGTATGCTTGTATTGTGGATGTGGATAAGCGCACAGATGTATGCACAAATCTTAAACACAATCTCTGAACCTGTCTAACTGATAATACACTCCTAGTCAGGTTGAACATCCAATGCTTCTTTTGTGCCTTACACGGGGTTACACAAAGGGTTAATGTTAGGTTACCAGGAAGGGTTAGTGCTAGGGAGGGGGGTGTAGGGAGGGGGTAGTGTTACAAGGAGGGTTAGTGTTAGGATTACAGTGAGGGTTAGTGTTAGGGTCATAGGGTGAGTTTGGTGTTAGGGTCGCAGGAAGGGTTAATGTTAGGGTCACAGGGAGGGTTAGTGTTCGGATCACAGGGAGGGTTAGTGTTAGGTCACAGGGAGGGTTAGTGTTAGGTCACAGGGAGGGTTAGTGTTAGGGTCACAGGGAGGGTTAGTGTTAGAGTTACAGTGAGGGTTTAGTTTTAGGGTTACAATGAGGGTTTAGTTTTAGGGTTGCAGGGAGGGTTAGTGTTAGGGTTGAAGGGAGTGTTAAGAGGTCACAGGTTAGTGTTTAGGGTTGCACAAAGGGTTTAGTGTTAGGGTCACAGGGAAGGTTAGTGTTAGGGTCACAGGGAGGGTTAGTGTTAGGGTTGCAGGAAGGGATTAGTGTTAGGGTCACAGAGAAGGTTAGTGTTAGGCTTACAGGGAGGGTTTAGTGTTCGGGTCACAGGAAGGGTTTAGTGTTCGGGTCACAGGAAGGGTTTAGTGTTCGGGTCACAGGAAGGGTTTAGTGTTCGGGTCACAGGAAGGGTTAGTGTTGTGGGTCACAGGATGGGTTAGTGTAGGGGTTACAGTGAGTGTTAGTTTGACAGGAAAATCTAATGTTAGGGTTACCGGGTTAAGGGTTAGTATAAAGGTTACAGAGAGGGTTAGTATAAAGGTTACCGGAAGGGTTAGTATAAAGGTTACCGGGTTACAAGGGTTAGTTATATAAAAGGTTACCGAGAAGGGTACCGAGTTATAAAGGTTACAGGGAGGGTTAGTGTGGTTACAGAGAGGGTTAGTAATAAAGGTTACCGGAATGGGTGGCAGGGAGGGTTTAGTGTTAGGGTTACAGTTAAGGTTATGTTGGGGTTAAAGGTATGGGTTAGTGTTAGGGTTACAGTGAGGGTTAGTGTTACAGTTAAGTTAAAGGTTAGTGTTGGGGTTAAAGGGAGTGTTTAGTGTTAGGGTTACAGGGAGGGTTAGTGTTAGGATCACAGGAAGAGTTTAGTGTTAGGGTCACAGGAGGGGTTAGTGTTAGGGTCAGAGGAAAAGTTAATGTTAGGGTTACAGGAAGGGTTTTTGTTAGGGTTACAGAGAGTGTTAGTGTAAGGATTACAGGGAGGGTTAGTGTTAGGATCACAGGAGGAGTTTAGTATTCGGGTCACAGGAGGGGTTGGGGTCAGAGGAAAAGTTAATGTTAGGGTCACAGGAAGGGGTTTTGTTAGGTTTACAGGGAGGGTTAGTTTAAGGGTTACTAGGATTATTAATGTTAGGATTACAGGCAGTCTTTGAATAGGGTTAAAGAGAGGCTAGTGTTAGATCTACCATGAAGGTTAGTTTTTTGGTTATCATGATGGATAGTTTTGGGTTACATAGTGGGTTAGTGCTGCAGTGAGTGTTAGGGACAGGACAACTGGGGGTGTGCAGGTGAGGGTCTTGGCATCTGCAGATGTGTATATGTGATTGTCTTTGTTTTGCAGATAAGATGTTGGCTGCACATTTTGATGCTCCGGGAGGGCCAGATAACCTCTATGTTAAAGAAGTGAGCAGACCTGTCCCAAAGGAAGGTGAGGTTCTGGTACAAGTCCACGCCAGTGCACTGAACAGAGCAGATTTACTACAGGTATGTTCAAGGTAACACTTCCAATGAACCCTTTCAAAGGTATGCATTCATTCATGGTACACAACTTGGATCTGTGATTGGATTGCTGGTAAAGGAAAGCAGACATGTATTTTGATGAGCATTGAGTTGTTATTATTGTTATATGTTGTAATTATTTAAGTATTGTTTTTGTGATTTTTGTGATATTTAATTACTATACATCTGTAATGAGATTGAAATGCTTAATTTATATAAATCTGTCAGAAAAAAGTTCATATACGGTTTTTGATTTTGCAGACAAGGGGATATTATCCCCCACCCCCAGGAGCCAGTCAGATTATAGGTCTAGAAGCAGTGGGCAAAGTGGTGGCACTCGGTCCAGGTGCTGATGGACGATGGAAGATTGGAGATCGAGTGATGGCTCTTTTGGCTGGAGGAGGAAATGCGCAGTACATTGCCGTACCTGGCAGTCAGCTCATGCCGATTCCCCCTGGTATGACAGATACCAATGCTGCTGCCATCCCTGAAGCCTGGCTCACCGCTTACCAGCTCTTGCACTTTGTGGGTGAGTGGTTTTATTCTTTTTGGAACCGAAAAGCCATTACAACTTAACTGCTGTGAGCAAATCAACTTCATTTCTATGCTTATTTAAAGGAGAAGTATGACCAATGCCTTTTTACTTCTCTTTTGGGTCACATGAGTATCTTTACTTTCGCTCTCTAGACTTTGGAAGGATCCCAACAATAATGTCGGGATCCACCTGGCTGCCTGATTGACACCTCGCTCCGCCTCTCAGCGCATGCCTGAGAGTCAGTCAGCTCCACTCAGCCCCTTCCCAACCTGACACAGGAAAAGCAGTGCAGAGAGCAGTGATGGTCATGTGATTTCTCAGGTTTTGGTCTTGGCACCGGCGTGGGAAAGCTGCAGTATTACACCAATGCTGCAGCCTAGAGGTGAGTATGGATGTGGTTTTTTTTTTTTGGTTTTTTTTCAAACCCAGATCTCCTTTTAAGGGGGATATTTTGGCTATAGTTGATGCATGGTAAGCTGAGCCAGCCTCTGACTTCTTATATGTCCTGGATCCCCCAACAGCCAAATATCCGTGCCATAATTCACCTTGCCATGTTCTTCCTATTTAATTCTCTACAGTATAAAAATACCAACAGGCTCACCAAGAGAGTATTCAGAATTTGTCAGGTAGTTCAGCTCTCTAGCATCTACCAATACTGGATTATCAGTTTTTAGTGGACTGACCTTTAAAAAAATTGCTGTGGGATCCGCATGATAAAACTGTGATTATACAGTATTTGGCCAATGTTTAATTGCAAAATGATTCCAGAAGATCCTAAAAACTTTGCTGAACTTTGGAAATTAATTCTAGATGGGATGTTCTTTGGGGAGATCGTCAAATCGATAGATCTGTGTCCAAATCAATAGATCTGAGTGTACCCTGATATGTTCCATTTCCTGGTCATGAGATGAAGAACCGGCTAGCATGCATGATGACAAATTCAATTTATTTAATCTCATAAATATGCCCAGTTTATGTTTTCTAATTAAATATGAGACGATATATAAACAGCTTGCTAAGTCTAACATTACTCCCTGTAGTCTGTGCCCTCGTAGCTTGCAGTTTAACCATTTGCAGTTAATGACAGATCATTAAAAGCTGTCTGTTACTTTTCCTATCCAGAAAACCCTATATAAAACTGCCTTCTCTTTGTTGTTAAAGGATAAGTTCACCTTCTGGAATATGTTACATGTTCCACCCATGTTTAGGGTGGAACATGTAACATGTTCCCAATCCTGAAGCTGCTGCCAGATTCCCCCCCCCTCCCCCTCCCTGTGACAGTATGGGGAGAAGTTCCCCGCACTAGCTGTCACTTTTTAAAAACAGTGCAGCCATGTGGGGCTCCTCCCACACAGCCATGTCGGGCTCCTCTCACACAGCTATGTCATTCATTTACAGTGTTCTGTAAATGAATAGACTACAAGTCCTGACAGCCTTAGCGGCCGTCAGCTTGTAGTTCTCATTTAACTACCACAGCGCTGCGAGCACTGCGGTAGTTCATTGAGTCTTCCTGTCAGAGGTATTAGATTGCTGTACGAGGAAGCAGATAGATTGACAGTCTGTAGGAGACCTGCATGACATCAGCAATTTACTGATCTCTGGTGCAATGCCTTACAGGCACTAAAAAAAAAAAAGAAAAATGAATGCGCATTTTTACCTTCAAGACAAATATGCGTTTATTTTTTTTAGTAGAAAGGTAAACTTATCCTTTAACCACCTTAACGGTATTCCCGAGTGTAGCTCGGGGTAAAATGTCAGTGCCAAAAGCGGTAACCCGAGCTACACTCAGGCTTACCATGCGGCGCTGCATAGGAAGTCCCTGCAGCACTTACCCTTGTCCTTCGCTCCACGCGATGTCATCCCCTGCATAGTAAAACCCCCCATTTCATCTCCTCCGGCCGATTTTGTCTGTTCCTGCCTGGCATCTGGAAATGTCCATGGCGTGTGTTTTAGGTCAAAAGCGGGTCCCGATGTAAATCGTCGGAGTGATAATGATGTAGAAATTCGGGACAAAACGATTTTGCGACTTTGCTCAGCAATGTGGAAATGCTAGAGTCCCCTGATTTGCACTCTTATTGAACCGGGGTGTTTCAAATGATGGAGGTTGGACAGGGTCTGAAATATCCAAAGTCCAACATTCTTAGTAACAAATTAACTCTTTCTTAAGAAATAAACCGCTTTCAGGCTGTGAACTTTTTTTTCTTTTATGTTCCATAAAGTACAATTTTCTTAGTTTGTCATCATTCTTCATTCCAAGAAATTTTACATACAAATGGACACCATTTTGTTTTTTTGTGGGGACCTTTGCACGAAAAAAATTATATCAGAATTGGGTTTTAGTAATGTGATGGAAAATGGAACATCTGGAGCAAGAACTCCAACCATGTTTTGCCCATTAATAAACCAAATTAATAAACTGGGCCCCAACAGGTCCAACAAAAATAAGCAACTGGTACAGAGCTATAACAAAGTCAATTAAAAATGTACAAAAAAAAAAGGAAGAGAAAAAAAAACATAAACAACGTTTTTTTAACTTTGGAAAGGTATTCGACACCTTGTGGTTCCTGTTCTTGGGAAGAACTTTTATTTTCAAAAGTTGAATCAGCTGCAAAGTTTATTTTGGTTACAGACCACCCTTACCTGTTTCCCTGCTTGATGGCTCATCTGTCTAGCACAGCATGAAGAAGAGATGTGTAATGGGAAATCGATATATAAGTGGCTCCTAAATAACCAGTAGATGCCAAACGAAGAGCTAATCTGAAACATTATCAGAAAAATACCCCCAGAAAAGATGAATAGTTACACTATATGTAAAGTTTAATTTATATTACAGTTGTGATTGTTTTTTGAGCAAAAAGTGGAACACTTTAAAGTTGGGAGTGGTTATTTATCTGCCTGTTTATTTTGTAATGTTTTTATGTTTAAAGGGAAGGTCCAGAAAGGGGAGAAGGTGTTGATACATGCGGGAGCTAGTGGTGTTGGCACTGCCGCCATCCAGCTGTGCCGTTTGGCTGGAGTGGTACCAATGGTGACGGCTGGTACGGCTGAAAAACTTGAGTTTACCAAGAAACTCGGAGCTGCTTCTGGATTCAACTACAAAGAGGAGGACTTTGGCACTAAATGTCTGGAGGCCACAAACAGTGAGTTCAGTGCAGCTGCTTGATACACAGTGAGGTTAATCACTAACACAGTGCAAGGTATTAGTAAATCAAAGGTCTCATATATGAAAGTAATGCACAAGAAACGGAGTGAAATTATTCACTGAACCAGATCAGAGGATTGCTTTTGTTTTCTGTACTATGCTCACAAATACAGCAGTTGGAATCCTGATTGGCTTCCAAAAACTAGATATGTGCATTTTTTTGGTTTAGTTATGATTCTAAATTCAGACAAAATTTTCGTTAATCGAAAGATTCTATTGTATTCGAATCTCCTAGTAACAACAAGAACGAATTTCAACAAATCCAAAATAAATCTTGAATCCTGCCCCCCCCCCCCCCCCCCCACTTGGGGGCTCCCTTGTTTCTGATAATTCCACCACCCAGGGTTGTGGGGAAGAGGTCCTTGCCCCATGTCAATATGGGGACAAGGTTATTTGGGGGGGGGGGCTCAAAGCCCTGGTCCCCCCCCCCCAATGTTGAGGGCATGTGGCCTGGTTTTGGTAAGGAGGTTTTTTTTTTTTTTTTTTTTTAACATTTGGTTTTCACTGGCACGTCTTTTGTTTTATATTTTGCTGTCAGCGGGGATTCCTGCTGACAGCAGATGAGTCAAAGTTGTTAAAGACACTGCGGCCGGAAGGCCACCCCCTCCTCAACAACCGGGTGGGGGGGGCTTGGGGGGTTGTGTTCATCGATGAACACAACACAGAAATGGGAATTCTTCAAAAAGACTGTATGTGAACACACTGCAAAATATATTCCCATGGGCAATGGGTTTAAAAGGCTAAAAATCAAACCTATGTGGGTTACGGCCAAAGTTAAGAAAGCTATAAATAATAAGAAAATAGCTTTTATTAACTATAAAAATGAAGGAATGCTATCATCGTTACAAAGAATATACCAGAAAATGCAAAAAGACAACCCCCCCCCCCCCCCCCCAAAAAAAATTCTTTAAACATATTTAATAGTAAAAAGGTCCGGTCCGAGCATGTAGGCCTTTTACAAAATAATCTAGAGTGGGTGACTGGGGACAAAGAGAAGGTAAACTTATTAAATACCTTCTTCAGCTCTGTGTATACAAAGGAGAATGGGCGAGCTCTTGTCCATAATGGGCATGGTATTGACAGCTCCAGATGATCCACATTGGCTCACAATTGATATGATCCAAAAAATATTTAGACAGAATAAAGGTGAATAACGCACCTGGACCGGATGGCATACACCCACAGGTCCTTAAAGAATTGAGCTCTGTCATTTCAAAGCCATTGTTTCTCATTTTTAGGGACTCTTTAATGACTGGCATAGTACCACTGGATTGGCGTAAGGCTAATGTGGTACCAATATTTAAAAAGGAGCCAAAATCTTTCCCAAGTAATTATAGACCTGTTAGTTTACCTTCTATAATTGGGAAGATACTGGAGAGTTTAATAAAAGATCACATAGATGAGTTCTTGCTGGAAAAACATATTTTAAGCAACAGACAGCATGGATTCATGAAAGACAGAAGTTGTCAAACAAATCTGATTTTTTTTTTTTTTTTTTTTTTTTTTATGAGGTGAGCAAAACCTTGGACAGAGGGGTGGCGGTGGACGTGGTATACTTGGACAGAGGGGTGGCGGTGGACATGGTATACTTGGACAGAGGGGTGGCGGTGGACATGGTATACTTGGACAGAGGGGTGGCGGTGGACGTGGTATACTTGGACAGAGGGGTGGCGGTAGACGTGGTATACTTGGACAGAGGGGTGGCGGCGGTGGACGTGGTATACTTGGATTTTGCAGAAGTGTTTGACACAGTTCCCCACACACGGCTAATGTGTAAGGTAAAGTCTACAGGCTTGGAAAAATCCATATGTAAATGGATAGAAAACTGGCTAAAATATCGTATTCAGAGAGTAGTGGTTAATGATTCATACTCTGAATGGTCTAGGGTTGTCAGTGGTGTACCCCAAGGTTCAGTATTGGGACCCTTACTTTTTAATATATTTATAAACCATATAGGGTCTGAGATTAAAAATCCCATTTCAGTCTTTGCAGATGACACCAAGCTGTCCAGTGGAATAACATTCTTACAGGATGTCTCCAATTTACAAGCCGACCTCAATGCACTGTTTAATTGGGCAACTATGTGGCAAATGAGGTTTAATGTTGATAAATGTAAGGTTATGCACTTGGGGGTTAAGAATATGCATGCATCATACATACTAGGGGGGTACAACTGGGGGAATCAATGGTGGAGAAGGATCTGGGAGTTCTGGTAGATCACAAGCTTAATGGCATGCAATGCCAAGCTGCGGTTTCTAAAGTGAGCAAAATCCTCTCTTGTATTAAAAGAGGTATAGACTCCAGAGAGAGAGATATCATATTACCCTGTACAAATCATTAGTAACACCTCATCTGGAATATGCAGTTCATTTTTGGGCACCGATTCACAAAAAGAACATTGGGGAACTGGAGAAAGTACAGAGAAGGGCAACCAAATTGATAATAGGCATGGATGAGATTAAGGGGGATATTATCAAAATGTATAAATACATTAGTGGTTCATATAGATAACTCTATGATGACCTCAGGGGGAATAACTCTACACTGAGGACAAGGGGGTACTCTTTCCGTCTGGAGGAAAAGAAATGTAATCTCCAAATTCAGAAAGGTTTCTTCACAGTGAGAGCTGTGGAAATGTGGAATAGACTCCCTCAAGAGTTGGTTCTGGCCAGCTCAGTGGATTGCTTTAAAAAAAGTCCTGGATTCTTTCCTAGATATCCAGAATATAACTGGATACTAACATTTATAGGTAAAGTTGATCCAGGGAATATCCTATTTGTCTCTCAGGGGATCAGGAAATATTTTTTTTTCCCTGCAGGAGAAAATTGGATCATGCTTTGCTGTTTTTTTTTGGCCTTCCTCTGGGTCAACTGTGGGTGTAGGATTATAACATTTATTTATTTTTTTATGGGTGAACTAGAAGGACTTTTTGTCTTTTTTTTTTTTTTTTTTTTTCCCAGCCAGACTATATAAGAAACCTATAGGTCAGGCTTCTGATGATGTTAGCAGTGTACAGCCAATCACAGTGCTGCAGGATCAGAAGCCCCACTTACCTCTGGCATCAAGGCCCACTTAAGGAGCTGGCACCTGGTGTTGGCAACATAATTAGATGTGTTTTTTAAATTCAAGAAGTGCAATTACCTGAATGTGACAGCAGAACTCACAGCAGGACTCAGAAAGGAGGGAGAAACAGCAGAACACACCAATTGTTTTTTTTCTGCAGTGCAAGTAGCATGTTTATAGCAGTATAGAGCAGAATTTATTTATTTCAGGTACTTGAATAGCGCCGTCAATTTGCGCAGTGCTTTACATACATATATTGTACATTGACATCAGTCCCTAACCCTCAAGGGGTGTACAATCTAAGGTCCCTAACTCACATTCATACATACACATACTAGGGACAATTTAGACAGGAGCCAATTAACCTACCAGTATGTCTTTGGAGTGTGGGAGGAAACCAGAGTACCTGGAGGAAACCCACGCAGTCACAGGGAGAACATGCAAACTCCAGGCAGGTGGTGCCAGGGTTAGGATTTTAACCAGCGACACTAGTACTGCCAGGCTGACGTGTTAACCATTTGGCCACTGTGCTGCCCCAGAATGACAGAAGGATGAACTCATTAGTGTACTGCTTTTCCTTCGTTCTTCAGTGACAGGGTAGGGGTGGCGAGGAGACCTCTAAGAAAAAGGAAAAAATGCAGCAGGCCCTGTGTAGATTTGTGTAGATCTCAATACTGGATGGACAGGTAAAAAGGCAGGTAAAAAAGCCCCTTATATGTGTTTAGTTGAATGTCTGGAGTTCAACTTTAAAGAGTAACTCCACTTTTGTTGGGGACAAAACATTCCCCTGTGGTAGCTCTATGTACATTATAGGTATTTTAGCAAACATTGTTGCTACCTTTATGTAATTCTGAAGAAATCCCCGTTTGTTTTTGTCTGTGTCCACACGCTGAGTGAATCTACATGAAAGTGTTTATATAATTATCAGTCAGCTGCTGCACTTGGAGGGCTCTAATGAAGAAAGTGGCATGGTCTGCTCCCCTTTATACATGATTTTCCTTTGGGAGTATCTCACTAAAAATGTCAGTTGCAGGAGACGCTCAAATGTGACGTGTGTGTGTGTGTGTGTGTGTGTGTGTGTGTGTGTGTGTGTGTGTATGTGTGTGTGTGTGTGTGTGTGTGTGTGTGTGTGTGTGTTGTGTGTGTGTGTGTGTGTGTGTATGTGTTGTGTGTATGTGTGTGTGTGTGTGTGTGTGTGTGTGTGTGTGTTGTGCGCGCGCGCATATGTGTATATATATATATATTATTTTTTTAAATTTTTTTGTTTTGTTTTACCCTTTGAATAAAATGATGAACAGTGAAAACAAAGTTGACCATTTGCCATATTCTCAAATTCACATTTATAGTATAAGAAAGGTGCTAAAGGGCCTTTTTTAGTAGTGTATTTTCTGCTAGATGGGCAAACATTCCTGTCACCTGATTTTGGAAACAGCCGAAAAAGATATTTCTGAGGGCCTATGTTAGCAGTGTCATTCTGTACAGACTTCGTGTTACTAAACCCAGGACCCTGCATTCACTATATTTGGTCTCCCACAGTACACAGAACATGGAAATGAAAATATTTTTTAGTAAATATAAACTGCTAAATGCCTTTTTCTTATCAGTAGTTAGAGCAGTCATGTGACTTCTATCAGTGTTCAGCTGAACACTGGAGGAGTTTTCATTTTGCTCTAGGAGGATGTAGAACCCCTGACCTCTGTCTGGACAGCGATGATTGGCACTGTGCTGATCATATGCACTCTCTCAAAGAAAAAAAAAAAACCTCTCTAGCAACACACACCAAAGTGAGCATGTGCAGTGTGTTCTGACAGCGATAGGTCTCACTGTCAAAATACAATTTTTCAACAAAGGGGTATTCCTCCATCCACCTCTTATGTGTGGATGGAGTAATCTGGGTTTTTTTTTGTTTGTTTGTTCAGCCCGCTGGTTGCATAAATAAAAACTATGTAAAGCCAGCTTCAGTCAACATTTTACATGTTGGAGCCTAGTAAACAAATATTATTTACTATTTAAGTGTTAAGTGCGTCAGATCTAATGTGGGGTTTGAGTCAATGTAGGCAGTTTGTCATTCTTTGAATTCAGCACACCTGACATATATAATTCCAGTTTACACAATACAGCCTGCCTTACGTGCTCTGGGCTCTGTCAACTCCTTGATGTTCTGGTAATTCAAGGACATGAGTCCTGTTCCTTCCTAGAATTTCCATCATGTGTTTTACAAAATAAAGTCTTTAGAGTGTTATTATCAATTCTCCCGCGCTGTTTGTTTTGGCTTCCTGCGGGCGGAACAAGCCTTGTGAGTCCGATCCCCGCCATGTTATTTTCTGTTATCACAGGGAGTGCCAGTTATCATTAATACTTCGGTAAACATGCTGAATGGATCTGGTGAGACTTCTTGTTTGAACCTGTACTTGTGATCTAATACAGGGGAAATTAGCAAATCTCTTTCTGTATCATTCTATGTTTTCCATCCATTGCAGCTGAACCTTGACAACCTCTTCATTAGCTGTTTTCATTGCTTTCTGTGTCATGGTGAGGTATATTATAGTAGGCCAGTAACTTACCCTTCCCTGTGTCTAAATTGTGATCCTTGCACCATGGGACTTCTCAGATTTGGCTCTGTGATATGAAGAAAGCTGGACTCCTGAGCCAGGTCAAAGCTTGTCCTGACATTTTATACTTTTTATTGCCCAAAATCCTAAACTCGGTAGTCTACACCAATGTTCCTCAACCTTTTTTCAGTCAAGGTACGCTCTAAAATTATGGACAATCTCAAGGTACCCTTTAAAATTATGGACAGCCTTGAGGCACCTCATTCTAAAATGTACTATTCTAGTAGTTTTACATAATGCATCAACATCCACGCACGTATAGTTGGACACCCAACGTTTCAGGTGATTTATTCTCCAAATCAAATGGACTCTTCTTTGGTCTTGGTGACATCAGGATCCTAGAGCGTGGGGATTGGTCTGGCTGCAGGGAGGAGCAGAGGATCGGGTAAGTTTTTTTGTTTTTTTTTTTTTTTTTTTTTGTGTCACTAGACCAAAATGAGCATTTAACTCTCGCAGTGCCTCATTGCAAGAGATCATTTTTAGTTGCCCGGAGTTGATTTAAAAAAAATCTATTCCCCAATATTTAAAATAAGCAGCGCTCGCTGCAATGCTTACTTTTCTCTGCAGCAGATACACTGATCTGCAGTCCAGCATTAGTCTTTTTCCAGGTTGAATAACACCAAGGGGCTCATTTGCTAAAGCTGGAGAGTGCAAAATCAGACTCACTTCTGCATAGAAACCAATCAGCTTCCAATCTCATCTTGTTCAATTAAGCTTTGGCAATAAAACCTGGGAGCTTCTATACAGAAGTGAGCCTGATTTTTGCACTTTCCAGCTATAGGCACCTTTCACACGGGGCGGAACCCATCAGCGGATCTACTTGCTGTCCGCTGATCCCTGCTGAGCAAGCAGATGACAGGTCCGAGTCCACTCCGCTGCTGCAGAATGGAAACAGACACAGTCCGCTGTCCTCTATGAGTGGTCAGATGGAAACGGACCACCTGTGCAGTTTCCATCCAACTGCCATCCCATCTGATCCAATGGACAGAAGGGGAATCGATCCCCATCCGTTTCTTTTTGGCTGATCAGATTGGATGTTGGCGGGTGTAAACGAACACATATCTATTTACACCGGCCACTCCACAGAGGAGAATAGAGGTTCCGATCGGGTCTGCCTGAAAAAATGGGCAGGCAGACCCGATCAGAACTTCCGTGTGAAAGGGGCCTTAGTAAATAAACATCCAAGTGTCTTTCAACCTGCTTCCTATGAGTCACGGATATCAAGGACCATCCCCTGGGGAGTGCATCATATAGCTGACCCGGGCTTACAAGAGAAAGCTGCAGCTATGCAACATTTAGAACTGCTCACAGTTGGAGGAAGAAACAAATGACCCGTGAATTACAAAAAAGGTATTTACTTGTAAATATATTTTCTGTAGAAGTACTGGGGAGGTGGGAGTGTGATAGGAAGCTGGAATTGGGCTTTATACAGTGCAGCAGAGCGGACCTAACCTAGAGAGCATAAACAGCCCCTCTGTTATTCAAATGAAAGACTTTTTGGAAGAATGAGTTGCTGAGGGCCACAGGCTTCCAAATGACCTGTATGCAGCAAGTACTCTGAGTTTAAGAAAGGGTCCCTGGCACATGTAGCAAAGTTTTCGAACAGCTAAAGGTATACATTATTAATAAAATTCTATCCCAGTCATAGCCTAAAAAACTAACAACCATTTTTTTCCCAGCACACTTACCAACTAGTCAGAAGAAAAGAAAAAACAAATTACACGGTCTAAAATTTTGTGTTACAGAGGTTTTAATTGCACAATATATGTGGAAGTCGCACTGCCCCAGTTGTAGTTTACACCCACATGTGATGGGCCTGAGTGGTCTAGTACCAGTGCTGTTGGGTGGGAGAAAGGAAGTCACAGGCTACCTTTACCCAGTAGTACCAGGTAATTATCTCTGTCTCCACTGGTGAGTGATTTGGTGGGGGTCTTAGAAGTAGCAACGGAGGAGATGGCAGGGGATGGAGCAGCGAATGACAGCCTAGATCAGTCAGTGCTGGAGAAGGGCGCACTTTTAAAGTAAGTGTGCCATAATGTGCATGTACTGTATGCTGCACATGCATGAAAATTATGGCAAGAGCCCAACTGTTTTACGGAGAGATCACCTTCCATAAATACTTAAAAGGCCCATATAGTAAACTCAGTTTCAGGTTGTTCACTTCAGGGTGACCACATAATACCCAAAGGCAGGTTTTCAGATGAAGGATTTGTACAGGGGCTTACTGTAAAACCTGTAAAAATTTTAAACTGTATTTCACAGGAGTTGGTTTTACCAACTAAATAGATGGTTTGAAAAAGAGCTAAATGTGTTTTTTATATACCCATTGTATACATTTTCACTAATGTACGAGGGGCATTCAAGTCAAACCAGGACCTTTTGAGTTTATATAATAAGAGAACAAATTTCAAGAAGTGGAAACTGCATTTATTTTTTGACTTACTCCCCTGCTACATTTTATACACTTATCCCAGTGTTTAACCAATGCCTGGAAAGCTTCGGCATAGAAAAAATTGTCAGTACGCCTGAACTATCCTACGACAGCCTGCTTCACTTCATCATCATTGTGTTCACCATTCCCACAGAAATATGTCTCTTGTGCAATTTCACAACAGATTATGTGTTGATTATCCAGGATCAGGCGCTCCACGCACTGAGTGTTCACAGGAATGACTGCTGCGGGCTGGGAACCACCATGGTCTGTCATTGACAGACGTTACGGCCATCTTTGAAATGTTTACACCATTCAAATGTCTTATTGCATCTGAGCGTCTCATCACTGTACTGTGCTGATGTCTTCTGTAGATACCCACAGATTTTACGCCACACGCTGTTCCATGCACGCACTAACACTGTTGTTTGCCATTTTGATTAACGGTCTTTGGACTAGCCCGCGACGTACACCACCTGTCAGTAATAGGACACACTTGCCACTTACTACTGTGTATAGTACCTCCATGCTAGCATCCCTTTTTATACCTGTAAAATTAAAAGTCCCAGTTTGTAACATTTTTTTTCCTATTTTACTTTCCTATATACGAGGGGCATTCAAGTTAAAGTGCTAATCCCATCAGTTATCATCTAATCTTTAAGGATTAGAAAATATTTTTTCCGTCTTAGAGCAATGTGGAGCATGTGGTTTAGAAACCTGAGGATGCTAGATAGTTTTAGTTAGACTTGATGAACATGTTTCTTTTTCAATCTATGAAAAAACATTGTCCACTTTGTGTCACCTTGAGTTGTTCAAATTTAGGTGATGCTACAGGGCAACGAAAGTCTGGCTTTCACCAATATAAATGCTTCATTATTTTTTTTTTTTGGACAGATACTGTTCCTATCATAACTTGCACATTCTCTTCCACAGATGTTGGGGTCGATATTATATTAGACTGTGTTGGGGCAACACACTGGGAAAAGAATCTACAGTGCCTAAACACTGACGGCCGCTGGGTTGTCTATGGGTTGATGGGTTCTGGTGAGATCCATGGAGATTTCCTAACAATGTTACTGAGGAAAAGAGGAAACCTGTTGGCCAGTACACTGAGATCCCGATCGAGCGAGGTAAGTGAACACTTAATGGGGGTGATGTGGTTTACTCTCTCTTCTTAATAGAATTGTTGATTTCATGTTCTCTTTAAGCACCTGTGTTGATGGACTTTTGTTTACATCAGAACTGCTTCTCTCTCCCTATACAAGTCAATAGGAATGTAAGAGCAGCTTGAAACAGTTTGATAGTTAGAAGGTTGAAATTAGAAGAAAACCAAACGCAACCCTTAATGGAATTTGAGGGCTGATTCACATGTTGGCAAACTGCTGCAGTTCGCTAATGTGCCCTGCATCATGAATGAGCTGCCACAATGGATCAAAACATTCATATTTTTTTTTTTTTAGCAACACAGCCTCCTACAGCATATGGTATGTGTGTTGTGGATTACTGCCATGCATTGTGGATTGCAGTCTACTGTACAGTGTGTTGGGGTACCATTTACAATAAATGGCAAGGCAGTGCACATAGAGCAGGTGCACTGATGTACTTTGCAAAAAATGAGTGAATGGGCTCTGTTTGATCTCAGAAACATCTTAAAACTGATATAAAATGCAAGCTGAAAGAACATAACAGCAAACTGCATTTACCATTAACACAAACCCAGAGCTCATTGACACAGGCCTACGGCCCCATTCACTGCTTGGCATATTGGAATCATGGGCAGAATGGCATGATTCTATATTGTGCTAAAATCATGGCAAAATATGAGACACATGTTGGGGTGCCTTTAATTCTTAACCCCTTGACGCCGACATAACACAAATGCGGCCTCACAGAACTGGGTTTTTTTTTTTTTCCCATGGGGCCACGTATATTTGCATACCTGTGTTTGTGCTGGGAGCGTGTCGCACGGCGTGCTCCCAGCACCGCGGTGTCACTGAAAGCACCCGATTCTGGGTCACATGATCGCTGTGATAGCCTCTGATTGGCTATCACAGTGATCAGTCACTGTACAGCTCGGCCTCTTTGTTTTTTTTCCTTTTTCTCTATGAATGGAGGAGAGATACATTGTATCTTAAACGACATAGTCGTGCGCTGGAGCGATTGTGGCGTAAAAAACAAATCTCAACAAGCATTCACCCTATATAAATCTGCTTTCTTAACATACAATGCCTCTCTTCATGCTGCCAAACAAGCCTACTTTGTCACTTTTATTAATACCTTGTCATCCAGTCCTTGTCGTCTCTTCTCTACTTTCTCCACCTCCACCCAGTGCCTCACTCACTGCTCACGAGATTGCAAATCATTTCAAAAACAAGATTGATGCAATTCGTAGGGGCATCGCCACTGCACAGACATCCATCCCACCTAGCATACCTTATACTAAACCTCCCTAAACACTTTCCTCTTTTGACCTTGCTACTACTGAAGAGGTCACTAAGGTTCTCAGAAGCCAGTCTCACTACCTGCCCCCTGGATCCTGTCCCATCACAACTACTACGGTCACTCTCTTCTTCCATCCTATGCTCCCTCACTCACATCTTCAATCTTTCCCTCCCCTGCCCTCTAAAGCATGCGCACATCACTCCCATACTTAAAAAGCCCTCCCTGGACCCCACCAACCTGAACAACTTAAGACCCATCTCCCTGCTGCCATTTACCTCTAAATGCCTAGAACACTTAGTCTACATTCGCCTGAGCTCCCACCTCACCGACAACAACCTTCTTGACCCTTTACAGTCTGGCTTCTGCCCACTACACTCCACTGAAACTGCCCTACTAAAACTCACTAAATGATCTACTAACTGCTAAAACCCAATGGCCACTACTCCATACTCTTACTACTTGACCTCTCTGCGGGTTTTGATACTGTTGACCATCCCCTCCTCCTCAAAAAACTCCACTCTCTTGGCCTCAGACTCTGCTCCCTCCTGGTTCTCCTACCTATCGCAGCGCTCCTTCAGCGTTACCTATAACGCTGCCTCCTCCTCTTCACTCCCTCTTTCTTTAGGGGGTCCCTCAAGGTTCTGTCCTTTTGGACCCCTTCTCTTCTCCATCTACACCTCCTCCCTTGGTCACTTGATAAACTCCCATGGATTTAAGTACCATCTCTATGTTGACACACAAATCTATCTTTCTACTCCTCACCTCACCCTTCAGTCTCCTCTCGCATTACTAACCTACTAAGTGACACATCAGCATGGATGTCACTCCACTTCCTCAAACTCAATCTTTCCAAAACGGAGCTCTTAGTATTCCCTCCAGCCCGTGCCCCCTCCCCTGACTTCTCCATCAAGATCAATAACACAATCATCAGTCACTCCCCTCATGCCAGGGTACTAGGTGTAATCCTAGACTCCCATCTGTCCTTTCAGCCCCAAATCCAATCACTGTCCAAATCTTGTAGCCTTCACCTCTGCAACATCTCCAAGATACGCCCGTTCCTAACCTCGGAAACTACTAAGCAACTTATTCACTCCCTGGTTATCTCTCACCTTGACTATTGTAACTCCCTCCTCATTGGCCTACCGAGTCGCAGGCTATCCCCTCTTCAGTCTATCATAAATGCTGCTGCCAGACTCATCCACCTTACTAACCGTTCCACATCTGCCACCTCTCTCTGCCAATCCCTCCACTGGCTTCCCATTGCCCAAAGGATAAACTCAAAACATTAACAATAATGTATAAAAGCCATTTATAACTCTGCCCCAAATTACATCACCGATCTTGTCTCTAAATATCACCCAAACCGTGCTCTTCGCAAGACCTCCTACTCTCTAGCTCCCTTGTCTCCTCCTCCCATGCTTATCTCCAGGACTTCTCCAGAGCTTCCCCCTTCCTCTGGAACTCTCTACCCCAATTTATCAGAGTATCGCCTACTCTGCTCACTTTTAGGTGATCTTAGGTGATCTCTGAAAACCTATCTCTTCAGGAATGCCTATCCTGCCCTCATCTAATAATGGAATCTTCTATTCTTCCAACCAGTCCATCCCCCACAGTTACTACCTTTTTTGTACCACTAGCCCCTCCCTCCTAGATTGTAACTCCAAGGAGCAGGGCCCCCCCCCCCTATCCCTCTTGTATTGAACTGTATTGTTTCTGTATTGTCTCCCGTTTTATATTGTAAAGCGCTGAGCAAACTGTTGGCACTATATAAATCCTATAGAATAATAAAATAATCTCTCGAACTCCTGGCATAGAGGGGGGAAAAAATGTTTGTAAAAGAAAAAAGAAGATAAATAAATATTAAAAAATAAAGACAAAATAACTACATCAAGGTTTGATCTAGTTCAGTGCCAGGGTTAGTGTCTGGGTCAAGGTTAAAAGTCAGGATTTAAAAAAAAAAAAAAAAAAATTTGGTGTCAGTGTGTTTTAGGTAAAAAAAAAAAAAAAAAAAAGACAAAAACAAAATGTGCACTATAGTTTCTGGGCTGTACTACAGGTACAAAGAACAAATAACATACACAATTTATGGTATCACTGCGATCGTCAAGAGGTGGAGAATTTATTTTGGGTTGCTCTTTGGTGGTAGGTTATGGTAGTAACAAGAAACGCGCAGCTAAATAAAAAAAAATTATTATTTTTTTTACCATTTTGGGCCAGTTTTCCTTTTGTTAATAAAAACAAATCAGGAGATATCCATTACCATTTACCACCAAATGAAAGCCCAATTTGTCCTGAAAAAAGTAAGGTAGAATTCACCTGGATGTACAAAGTAGTTGTGATATGTACGGTTTTACTAACATGTGTCAATGTTGAAAAATTGTGCTTGGGCATTTAGATTTGTTTTACCCTTAGGCGGGAAGGGGTTAATGGCACCCCAACGTGCCCCAAAAAGAGTGTTTTATAACAACAAAACACACCAAATCATGTTGTTCATTAATTCACCAAAGTTGACTCCAAAAAGGGTACAGGAGCTAGTCTGGTGAATTTTTTGAGTGGAGGGCAACCCATTCAATAGCAAAAAAAGTGACACTCCTGCATCACTAGGTATGAATGGAGCTTACGGTTATTTCTAGGAACAGGGACAACCATTGCAAGGCTAAGATTTTAGATTTTCTTGTGATCTAGTCTTGTAGTTAAAGTGTATTTACAGGGATAGAGTAAGGAAGGATTACCATCCCTGTCAGGGGTTTTATTTTTGTCTGTCTCCCTACTGGGTAGTTTCATCCACCTATTTTGTCATGGTGACAAATTAAAGAGGGTGAATGTATAACTCAAAATTTTAAAGTTGTGACCTGAACATGCGGTGAGGGAAAATATTCCAGTCGGGACACTTGTTCCTAAACTTTGTAGAGGTTTTATCCCACTTCCGGCTTCATCTTCAGGACAGGAAGTGAAGGGAAACCTCGCCGTATGGAAACAGACCGCAAAAAAAAAATAGGCCAACTGGGTTTTTTTTACCCTACTCATCCTACTCTATCCAGAACTAAAAAAAAATGTTACCTACACTTTAAATAATTCTCTGAAATCTGGTGTTGTAGAACCACCATGAAATGCTGAGACAACATTGGTGAGAAAATATTGCTATGGAGGTTCCTACTGTTGTCTCTATTGGGCTGTAAGAAGTACAAGAAACCTTAATTCCAGTTACAGAGTTATATCAAAAATAAGATGGCGGTTTTGTAATGAAAATCCTTATACTGGCATGTTGACACATAAACCCATTATACATATAAATGTAACAGTGTTCTGTTCTGTTTGTGTTTCAGTACAAGGCAGAGCTGGTGAAGGCTTTTACAGAAGACGTTCTCCCCTACTTTACAGTTGGCGGTTCTATCCAGCTGCTGCCAATAGTAGACAGCGTTTTCCCTTTTGATCACATTGCTGATGCACACCGCCGCATGGAAGCCAACCAGAACATGGGGAAAATCATTCTCCAGATCCCTGAGTGACACCAACAGGGAAATGTGTATAATAATCC